ATTGACTGGCAGCCAACTCACCAGGAACCCTTGAAATGCTTCTTATGAAGCCACTCCTTCGTTGCCCGGTGGCGGTGTGTTTAGGATCATTGTCTGCTGAAAGACCCAGTACGTTTCATCTTCATGCCTTGCGTGATGAGAGTTTCACTCAAAATCTCACGATACATGGCCCCATTCATTCTTTCCTTACAGGATCAGTCGATCTGGTCCCTTGCAGAAAACAGCCCCAAGCATGATGTTCACACCCCCATTAGATTCACAGTAGGTATGGTGTTCTTTGGATTGCAACTCAGCATTCTTTCTCCTCCCAAACACATCTACCGTAGTTTGAGTTTTTACCAAAAAGGTCTCTATTTTGGTTTCATCTGACCATATGACATTCTCCCAATCCTCTCTGATCATCTAAATGCTCTCTAGCAAACTTCAGACGGGCTTGGACATGTACTGGCTTAAGCAGGGGGACATTTCTGGCAGCTGCAGGATTTGAGTCCCTGGCGGCGTAGTGTGTTCTGAGTAGCCTTTGATACTTTTGGGTCCTAGCTCTCTGCAGGTCATTGAATAGGTCCCCCGTGTGGTCCTGGGATTTTTGCATCACCGTTCTTGTGATCATTTGACCACGGGGTAGATCTTGCGTGGAGCCACCCAGATCGAGGGAGATTATAGTGTCTTGTAATGTACTTCCATCATTTCTAATAATTGTCCCAACAGTTGCATTTCTTCACACCAGCCTGCTTACCTATGCAGCATTCAGTCTTCCCCAAGCCTGGTGCACGTCTACAATTTGTTTCTGGTGTCTTTGACAGCTCTTTGAGTTTGGCCATAGTGGAGTTGGGAAGTGTGACTGTTTGAGGTTGTGGAAGGTGTCTTTATACTGTTAACGAGTTCAAACAGGTGCCATTATACAGTTTACAAGTCGGGGACAGACGGGAGGCTCTTAAAGAAGCAAGTTACAGGTCCTGATGAGAGCCAGAAATCTTGTTTGTTTGTAGGTGACCAAATATTATTTTCCACCATATATTTGCAAATAAACTATTTAAAAATCAGACGATCGTGATTTTCTGGATTTTTTTTCTCATGTTTGTTCTCATAGTTGAGTATACTAGGATGAAAATTACAGGCTCTCAAAATCATCTTTTAGTGGGAGAACTTGCTACAATGGGCTGACTAAATACTTTTTTGCCCAACTGTAAATAAACAGCCAGATGTGGAAAAGTGACTATACATTTGAAAACACATCATCAGAGATACAAGAATATGGGAAAAAGAAACGAAAAAAAAAATCAATCAAGTCCTTCAGGATTCTGAAACGATATAACAGTAAGAGAGGTACTTTTTTTAAATGTATCCTTTCTTTAGTGTGCCTATCTGCCAAGGATGGCCAGTGGTTGGGTCCCATAACCTGCAGTAAAAAAATATATGTAATAAGAATCTAATAGAATCAATAAAGCCAGTGTAGGAGCAGCCAGAATGTAGAAGTGAGGCAAACACTTCCCTGTCTTCTTCCAATGTAACTTCAAGAGCTCATTGGCCCGACTCTCCTGCGTGTTTTAAACTTTTTGAGTTCACTGATCGAAATGCCCCAAAACAAACACAAGCAGGAGCCAGACTGTCAGACTGTCCCCAGCCCTGCTCCAAATGACCATTAGCTCCCTCATGCGCGCATATTCCTTCGGTTCTGTATGCTGGAAATAAATGTCCAATCTTTACGGTCTGCCATGGCATGATTTACACCAAATTACAAACTTTATGCTCCCAAGAGGAACGCATCAGAGTTGAGAATGAATCAAAAAAGTCTATTATTCAAGGCGATTTTCAGAGTTTTGGCTGCTGCGATCAGAATCGGGCGCCGGGTGGAGAGCATTGGTGGACAACAATGACGCTCGGCCTCACACACACTTTCTCCAGAGACCGAGCAGAGAGACACACAAACAACACACACCACACACACACACACCACACACACACACACACACACCACAAACACACACACACACACACACAACACACACACACCACACACCACACACANGTAGACTGGGCATCCCATATAACCTGGCTGAGCCAATATAAAACAATCAGCTCAAAAATGTTAAAAATGTTAATAAAGAATTTATTGAAAAGTTAGTTGGCTGATTGTTTTATATTGGCTCAGCCAGGTTATATGGGATGCCCAGTCTACTATATATGATATGGGTCACTCATTTTACAATATTAAACTTTGTTTTCTTATCTTTAATTTTTCATCCTTATGTAGAATGCTATTACGAAACACACATTTGGTTGTTTATAGCATAAAGAACATCTGATTTAATGTGAGGTAGGGAAATAATCATTTGAGTATAAGTATGTGCATATAAATATGTAATTTACAACAGCTGTACGCTGCTTGAAAAGCTTGAAAATGCACCTTGAAAATGCTTGAAAAGTGCTTGAATTTGACTTTGGAAAAGGTGTAAGAACCCTGCATTTAAGACTTGCACAATTAACATGTTTTTCAAAATGTAATGTGGAAACAAAGGCTATTTTCGGTCAGTGTAAAACCGGTTGGGAGGATCTGGATGTGCTAGTTAAAAAATGTTTAACCTAAAGACAGTTCAGTGAATTGTCCACGTGTTTCTACAAACCAAAACAAATTTTAAAGGCGCTTTAATCCCACAAGAGAATCTTGATGAACATGTGTTATCTCAAGACATAATTGTTCAGCGCATCCTACACTATGACTCCAGCTGCCCCATGACCCTTATAAGGATTAAAAAAGGGAACTATAATGAATGAATAGATGAAGGAAAATTCCAGCTCACAGGTTCTGTTTCCATGCAGTATCCAAACTGATAAGAAAGGGAAGCAAATGCTGCAAATATGATGCAATAACGACTGAGGTTTCATTGGAGGGATGTCTGATGATAAAAGAACCTCCGTGAAGAATTGGTCATAATAATTGCATTCAGGCCGTCTTGGCACAGAGCTCTTCAAAACTGGTTGTCAGCTTTAGGAAGCAGGGATGTCTTCATTTTCTTTTCTGTTTACATTGATCACATTATTAATCGCATTTCCTTCCTTTTGTCTTGTATGCAAAGAGTGGTGCAGTGATGATTTTTATAGGGCGACCCAGAAGTGAGCATCACAAGGGCTCCCTCAACAAAAAGCAATGGGATTTTCCATTGGGTTTTTGAATATTGCAGAAAATAAGATCTGTGGCAAACACAAATGTATGATACCGACATGTTTTGTTCAGCAGGATAATCTCAACATGTTGATTTTTGAAGCTTAAATGAAATCACCAGAAGTAAAACTATAACGTTAGGTTTCAAACGAACTACATGTCGGTCGCATGACTTCACATCACCTCCGCTAAGTGATGACCTTAGGTCTCATTATGCCTCTTGAACCGCTGTTTTTGACACACAAAAGCTTCTGCATTCACCAGTGGGCTATTTACTGATAGATTTGATGTTGTGAAAATCGCTTAACATACCATTGACTTTATATCAAGCATCTTACCAGATATACGTTCATAATATAGTGCTATGAAATCAGGGGGTAAGCCGTTCGATCCAACCCCCTGTGGTCAACATGTCGAAGAGTCCTTGGGCAAGATACTTAACCACTAATTGCTCCCGTGGGCATGTCTACGGTATTGAGTGTCACCTCTGATAGAAACGTCATCGGGGCTCAGTCTCGCTGCGACGGACACAGGTTAAAATCCTGCATGCCGACCTTTTACACGTTGTATCACTTCCATCTCATCTTTTCAACACTGTCACTCTGCAATAAGGGGCTCATCTGGCCCAAAAGTAACGTTGACTTTGAGACGAGGGAAGAGAAAGTAGGACCTCATTCCTGCACCACTGAATTCCTACAGTCAGCCTGGATCACAGAGCAGTTCAGGAGCGAGGCAGGAGAGCTTTGCATCCTCCTCTCGTCTATCACGGTTGTAGTGATAATGAAATTCAATTACAATTTCCTCCCAGCCCGAGATCCTCTCTTACTTATCTCCCATATCCAGATGCTCCTTTGTCCAGGGGGAGGCTCCTTTAGCAGGGTTCCTCTCCACCAACCAACACCAACATGGTAGCAGGTTCAGAATTCCTTAAAGTCTCCTTTGTTGGTATTGAAGCATTGTTATATGTCCCCCCCCCCTTCTATCCTTCCAGTTTGGGTGCTGGGCCTTGTGAGACATGTCCCCATGTGATTATGAGCTGTGACGAGATTATGAGATACCGATAATGTGGCCTATTTTGGAGACTCGATTCCAGATCTTCACGGTGCTGATCTTGATAGTCGATAGAGAGGGGAGGAGAATGACTGGAAATCACACCGATTCCCTTTAACGCACCGAACCACACACCCAACATTTTCTGCAATCGAATAACTGAGCACTTTCTCTTTGATATCTGCTTTATACGAGCTCAACGGTCGCCTGCTTTTACTTTTAGGAGACAGTGCCTTTGCAAATGGACCCTTTGATTTTGAGAATTTTCCAATGAAAAAAGCCAGAAGAAAGAAACAGAGTAAGGCGTTTCTCTCCAACTACCTTTTTTCTCTTTCCCTTTTTGTCAATTTAAAGAAGAAGCCACATGTCTGTGTGTCGGCAGAACAGTCAAGTTGCAGATATGGGAACAAATATCATGCCATAAAGTGTGGTTAAAACTGATCAAATTAATTAATTGTTTCCGAAATACTTGTGTGTGGTAAACTCATTTCAGACTGTGTCAGAAATTCCATTTCAGGAGACACATGAGGAACAAACGGTAATGGAGGCTGTGACTTCGTAACATGGATCGTTATGTTTTCTTGCAGGAGTTTTTTGAGAATCCAGCTTTCAGGCCCGACGGGTTGAAGCTGTACCCGACGCTGGTGATCCGAGGAACCGGTCTGTACGAGCTATGGAAGACGGGCCGCTACAAGAGCTACAACCCCAGCGCTCTGGTGGACCTGGTGGCCCGCATCCTGGCGCTGGTGCCTCCATGGACACGAGTCTACAGGGTGCAAAGGTGAGGTGATTTGTTTGGACTGAAGATGAAAGCCTTTTAAAGAGAAACTCAAGAAAAAGACAGTTTTGATGTAACAATATATGTTTATTGCCGGGAATACACAGATGGTGTTTGGCATTAGACTATGTTTAAAATGCTTGTTTTCTGAATTGAGTTCAGATCAGTCAAGGCTATGCTATCATTGCAGCTACTCAAAATAACATCATCTAAATGAGGCGAACTGTAAAACCACTGTTGGGAAATAACATTGCTATCATAATTAACATTTATAAAGTAATGTTATTAATGGCTGCACTACATCTATGTTCACTTTTTTTTTAACAATGGATGTGTGATTATTTGATTTGATTTTGTTAACGTGTGCTCTTTATTTAATATGTTGTTCTACTCATTTAGTTTTCACCTGTTTTAATTGCACTGTCCCTTTGCTGTTACAATGTTAATTTCTTGGCTGTAGGACAAATAAAGGATTACTGATTCTAAGGCATAAATATAGCAGGAACTTTGTTCTTTTATACACATAGAATCTACATACTGTGAAATATAAAAACCTACCAACTTCTAAGAAGTTATTAATCGATGACCAATGCCGACGTACAGCTACATTACGTTTTTCCCAATACAACGATGTCAGGACATCAGTGCCGCCAGGAGATAGGCAGGTGATCAGGTTATGGACCAAAGCAACATTTTTTTATTGCAATTTTCCCGTATTTGCGCTAATTGTTATTCTGTAAAATTAGTCTCTATATGTGTCATTGCATTGACTTTGCATTGTTGTCACACCACGCAAAAAATGGGCATTGAACACACAATTAGTAGCTTCTTTCCGCACTCAAATACATTGTGAATCTTATACCAAAATCTCCCAGAGTTTGTACTGACACATGCATTCTTTTTCCCACCTCAGCTAGTTAGGAGCTACTTTTAGACTAAAGATGTTTTGTGAATACGCCCCCTCACGGACAGATTTATTTTATGTGCTGGAATCTGTAATATACCTTTAGTAAAACTGTTTTATGTACCACTCATCTTTTCCCTGCTCCTTTGCCCCCTCTTAGGGACATCCCCATGCCGCTGGTGAGCTCCGGAGTGGAGCATGGAAATCTCAGAGAGTTGGCTCTGGCCCGGATGAAAGACATGGGCACTGAGGTGAGAACTCAAAGTGACTTCATGCCAGGTTATTATAAGCAAGGAAGCCAAAATACTTTTCCAACTGGGATGCGATCCAAACCAGTACCAAAGGACTTTAGAGCCAGCTCCTGCCAACACACAAATGCTGACTGGCTCATTTGCATACCTTCCTTTAACAGCGTAAGATGACAGATTAAGAACGCTGCCAAGTATAGTTTAGAATCGTTGGAGCGTGGGATTGGAGAACCCTCCCTTCCACGCCCCCCCCCCACACATTTATTGAATTTATGTTGGAAAGTAGATGACAGCTTTAGTAGACGTTTATCCAACTTGAAAACACCTGGGAAGAGGGCACTTAGCAGAACACAAACAACTCCAAGACCCCTGACCAACTTCAATCAAAAAACACTTGAGAGAAAAAAGGCTGAGCCAACGTGTTCATGAGAAAACACCTATGGGGTGAGAGCCTCCCGTAAGCTTCTGTTTAAAAGCAAAGAGAGGCTGTCAGGCTGAAAGAAGAACAGACTTCATTCCGTGGCTACTTGTGTTTTTTTACCCAAAACTCTTCACTTTTACCCCAGTCATTTCTTTCTCTCATTATCCATCATCTAAAGCAACATTCTTGATCACATTCAAGTCTGGTCACTTATTGCACTTTATTTCCTCCGGACTGTTATCCTGTGCTTGAATCACATTATTCAACCTACTGAGGTTTCAGAACTCTTCTACCCAGCTTGAAGATAAATGCAGCAAACTGCATGTCAATATAGACTTACCACAGAAAAAAAGACGTGGAAACTTAGGACAAACACCCACCGTTTTGGACAACAGTCAAGGAATTGTAGTCCATCTGTGTGACCGAAAGCCTTAGTTATAATCAGGTTTACTGAAAAACCACAGGCCGTCTTTCATTAACAAATATTGTTCTATGTTGTGGTATGGGCCAGGGAAGCACCCGGGAAGTGACTGCAGGCTGCACATCTCCAGCAGCTCACGGTTCCGTCACTACCTGACCTATTTGAAACTGATCTATTGTAAAAAAAGGGCCTCAACAACGATGGTCTTGTTATAAAACTTTGTTCAAAAACAGGTGCTCAAAGCCACTGTGGTTTTTTTCAGCTTGAAGTGAAGCACTGGCAGTAGGACATGTTGATGGTAACTTAATACAGAGTGGAATATAAAAGTGAGACAATGATATGAATATAAAAACAATAATACTGGATAACAGCCTGCATGACTTCCTGTTAATGCAAATGGACTGATTGGTATTAAATCATTTTATGTGATTTGTTATCACGAAAATTAGTATTACTATAAAAAAGATTGTAGGTTAACATTAGATTCTTCAAGATTTTACATTTCCTAACTGCTTTTAATGTTTCTCTGTGTGCAGTGTCGAGATGTTCGAACGCGGGAGGTGGGCATCCAGGAGATCCACCACAAAGTTAGACCTTATCAGGTAATGACCAGGAGACAAAGTGCATGCCCTTCTAAAGTGATAAATCAATGCAGTATTTCTCAAGACTCTGATTCCTTTCACCTGAAGGTGTGTTTTTTTACCAAATCTCCCTTCCCTAACCAAGATGAGTGTGTGTTCAGGTGGAGCTGGTGCGTAGGGACTACGTGGCTAACGGCGGCTGGGAGACCTTCCTCTCCTACGAGGACCCGGAGCAGGACATCCTGATTGGCCTGCTGCGTCTGCGCCGCTGCTCCCCCCAGTCCTTCCGTCCGGAGCTCAAAGGGGGCGTGTCCATCGTCCGCGAGCTGCACGTCTACGGCAGCGTGGTCCCCGTCAGCAGCCGGGACCCCAGCAAGTTCCAGCATCAGGTTGAGACACGCAGAGGACACCCAGACATTCTGTATTTTCTATTATTTTATTACCCTATATAAGGTTTTTAACTAATGGATGTATCCGTCTTGTAGTTTTCTATCAATTTGCGAACTATGACGCTCTGCTCTCAGTACACCTGTCCATATAGTGATCGGTTAAGTGCAGCTAACCCCGTCCATATAAACTCACTCATAGCCAGACTGAGAAACCCTGGATTAATTTACCGAGTTGATAACCAGCATCGTAAAACCCTTTAGTCAGATCGCCTGGTTATGAACTGACCTCCTAGTAGAGCCTCTTTAGAGTTTAAGACTAAGATCAACCCTTAAGTAGCCAGACCCTGCGGCAGACATAGATCTGTGGGCAGGCATTTGATTTACCAGGGCAGGCCAAATGTAAAAAATATATGTGGTGGGGGCACATCAGATAGGGGGGCTATCTGTATGTAACATATAAAGCCTGGAATTTAAATCAACGGAAAACTATACAGTTGCCGACAGACTTTGGCAGTTATCACATTTAGCGGCCCCAGACATGAACAAAGTCAATAAAGAAACAGTGGCAGTTGCTTCAGCACACATCAAACAAGCAAAAACAGAATGCATAATATATATATATTAATGCTGAAAAAATTATCGCGTTAACGGCGGTTAAAATATTTAACGCATTTAACACATGTGCAGAATGGCCCGCCCCATACATCCCACCAGTGGCAGCGCCAGGGTAGGCTACACCCATACCAAGCAACGCCAGAACCCTGGTCGCCGTTCCGGCCAAAAAGTAATGAAGGACCTTAACTTTCAGTTGATATTAATCCAGTTTATAACTTCTTTCAATTTTGAAATTTGTAGGTACCTGAATTTGTTTGAAATAAAGGTTCCCTATTTTTCGGGTGTATCGAGTTGACCCGGTTCCACTAATGTCGACCCATTTCTTTTTCACAACATACAATAGTGACGGGGGCAGATTTCTGTGCCCTACCCTGAAATTAAATATAAACCTGGATCCATCACAAAAACCAGTTTGAATTACCAAACGAATTTTTATTTTATTGAAAATCGTATGTCAATACACTGTTGACACTCCACCAACGTGCCCCGGGTCTATGCCCGAGTCGACTGAAGTCTATTTCCTTATAATACTATGGTAAGTACACACTATACGGCGCCTGAACATGAAATGTACAAAGAGACTAGGCGCAATGAATAACAACACCCTTCCTATAGAGATTCATGCCAAAAGGATTGCGAATTACAGATAGTTATCAGTCTAACGAGACTCTCCCCTCCACCTATAAAGATAAGTAAAAAAGTGCAAGGGTGGTGTCCAGAACACTAAACATTAACTTGACATCAAAAGGAAATAAGGAACAAATTATACCTGACTTAGCGAAATGAGACGTGCGTGACAACCAATAGGTCGACAACCAAAGTGGTACCAAAGATTGGGCAAGTGAGGACATTTTATCTTTAAATAAGAATAACTTTTGCCCAAAAATGTAAGTTTACCTTTTTTTTATTTTTTTAGTACACGTCCCGAATACACACCCCCGATCACCGGTCATGAAGCACTGGTGTCCTCACACCTTTGCAGGAACACTAGTCGACAAAAATCCGTCAAGAGGTTCACCTTCCCCCCCTCAAGAGGGAGTGTTCGGCCAAACCGCATCAAAACCATGTTTATAGGCAACATTGTCCTTGGCTGCAATTGGTTCCGTCGGCAGACACGTGTGCCTCTGAACCTGAGAACAGCAGGGCCCTAGATCCGCGGAAAGACACATATTCAAAGGGGTTGGTTCATGCAGCAGCCATGCGTTTACTCAAACACCTGGGTTCAACTGCCAGCCGTTAAAGTCCTAATCCCGGTTGTTTTGGACCGATGTCAATACACGTGGGGATGATGCGTTTTCATAAAGACGCGCAGCCCTGAAGGAAAACGTTTGTTGTGGTGCGGCAATAGAACTAAGACTAACCCGGTCTCTGTAAATAGTTACAAGATAAACTCTTCTGCTAAGTGATGCACTTGTTTCAAAGTTTTTGCAAAAGACCAAGAAGCCATAAAGGTTGTTCTTTGAAACCGACGACACGTTTTAAGAGCCGGCTTTCAAACCCAACCTGGAAATAAACCCGAATGACACATTGTAAGTAAAAAAGTAACCACGCCCCCA